GAATATCAGTGTAACCACTAGTACTCAAATGTCATAGTAACCTGTAAGTACATAAAGAAGCACAATAATTGGTTAATGAAACAAATAGCAACAACCCATACCTTATCTGGGAGTTGATCGGTGCTGGTGTCGTCTGGACCACCTCTCGCCTGCGACACATCCTCTACATTTGGCGCCACACTGTTGTCTGGCTCTGCTTCAAGCCTCAAAATCTGGCGGACTTGCGTCCATACAAAGTCGATGACGTCATACTTATTTTTCCGATGTCGTAGCTCGAGCTTGGCGTCAGTGAAGGCCACCATGATGGTGGTGAGCATGATGTTGATGAGTATCACGGTGTTGACGATGCAGAATGCGAAAAAAAAGACTGGGGAAAGAGCACTGGCATGGTACATTGAATCAAAATTAAATACACCCAATAGAATTTCGAAGCTCTCTGTGGCAGAAGATAGAAAACTGGAGAAGTGTAGTAGTTCTGTCATAAGGGTAAAATGAAACACACTATTGAAAGCAATGAAAACAATGCAAAATGCTATGAAGGAAACAATGAGTTCATCCCAGCACCGCCGTACTGTGAGCGCCAGCACATCTATCCTCTTATTGAACTGCAGCAATTTGATCAGTTTCATTGTGGAGAAGAATACTATGATAGCGATCAAGTGGAGATATAATTTGTCTTTGTAAACAGCCGAGTCAAGCCTCACGTAACCATCTCCGTATGAGTTGTTGAATATTTCCATAGCAGCTTTCGTCAAGAAATATCGTTCAACGAAAACATAGATTGTAGCATAGGATGTTAAAATAATGCAGATTTCCGCCATGTTCCAGTATGAGGACAAATAATCCCATTTCAATTTCTTAATCTTCCAAAGTTCCCATACTGTAAGGATGACTGTGACAATCACAAAAGTCATTTGACAGAAATTTTCAATATATCCAAAACTTCCTGGATTCTGTATTAGTTGGACGGGCTCAAATCTCCAAGAAGGGGTCACTCCCCCACCTTCATTAAACTCTGCAATAATTGAGCACGTTGAAAAGAGATTCACATTTGCATTATATATGGAAAACTCCACCAAGACTGCACGAGTGTATTTATCAATCCATCCCATCGTTGGCATAGTTTTCAACTTCTGTTTGTCTTCTGCTTCGATGGAATTCAGACTAATTACATAGCCACCACCGCTGTAAGTACCAAGAATGCCTTGAGTGGAATATGTCTGAAGCTCTGCAGCTGTTTTGTAACGGAACTCATCATGGACACAAGAACCATGAACAATTTCTTCTGCTGACCAACCGTCACAAAAATTTCTTGTGTCTTCTATCTCATCCAATCGACTTCCCGAACAGTTATGTATAATATTCCTCATGGCGATGGGAACTTTGCACCTCCGGGGGTCACTTCTTATCTGCCGTATTATTCCATAACCAAGAATTCTATTTGCTCGGTCGTCTAGGAAGCCTCTGAGACCATACGGAGGATCGCCATTGTACCATCGCTGAGCGCGAAGTTCCTGTATGCTCACATTCTGCGCCCAATGCCAGAACTGGTCTGTTGTGTTGACCTGAAAAAATAAGTTCAGTTGATAAAATAATTTCTGAAAGAAATGCACTTACCATGTATGATCATTTAACATTGTGCAATAAAATGCTAAGCAAAACTATCTACATAACACTCTAGATATTTTGAAAATATTTCCACTGTTTTCTATGGATTAATAAGAAATTTAAGTATTAATATTATAGACCTGAGAAACTGCATATGTGACCAGAATCACGACAGCTCTTATTTCACAATATTCCCTAGAAGGAAAGACTTACATGATGAGGTTCGTCCTAAAACAGTATTTTTAAACCTCGTCATTAAACAATATTAACCTAATATGTCAAAAAATATAGTCAATTATCACTAGAAATATTGTCTGGTTAAGAGAGAACAATTTATGTAATAAATCAAGGGGGGGGGGGGGGATGGCGATTTGTATTAAATGATAAGCTATAATTGTTATTCTTCCACATCTGATATCCGACAAGAAAGATTAGTTTCTCAGTAAGATTACAATGTGTAAAATTTCGCATAAATAACATTTCGGTACACAATAATTATATTACAAAGCCATGGAAAATTATATTATCACGCTATAATCACGCCCGGACATAATTAATATGTTAGAGAGTCGGTAAAAACGGAAATAAGATTAATTAATAATATAATTAGTCTTATTAATAACCTAGTGGCTGGACAGACCACCACACGGGACAATGGTGACCGGATAGACCACCACACGGGACAATGATGGCCAGACAGACCATCACACGGGACAATGGTGGCTGGACAGACCCCCACACGGGACAATGGTGGCTGGACAGACCCCCACACGGGACAATGGTGGCTGGACAGACCCCCACACGGGACGCTGGTGGCCGGATAGACCACCACACGTGACTCTTGTGACCGGACAGACCAACACGGGACAATGGTGGCCAGACAGACCATCACACGGGACAATGGTGGCTGGACAGACCACCACACGGGACAATGGTGGCTGGACAGACCACCACACGGGACAATGGTGGCTGGACAGACCATCACATGGGACAATGGTGGCTGGACAGACCACCACACGGGACAATGGTGGCTGGACAGACCATCACATGGGACAATGGTGGCTGGACAGACCACCACACGGGACAATGGTGGCTGGACAGACCATCACACGGGACAATGGTGGCCGGACAGACCACCACATGGCTCATCTCTCTTGAAAGAGATTATCGTCACAATATATATATATATATATATATATATATATATATTATATATATATATATATATATATATATATATATATATATATATATATATATATATATATATATATATGTATATATATATGTCGTACCTAGTAGCCAGAACTCACTTCTCAGCCTACTATGCAAGGCCCGATTTGCCTAATAAGCCAAGTTTTCCTGAATTAATATATTTTCTCTAATTTTTTTCTTATGAAATGATAAAGCTACCCAATTCATTATGTATCAGGTCAATTTTTTTTTATTGGAGTTAAAATTAACGTAGATATATGACCGAACCTAACCAACCCTACCTAACCTAACCTAACCTATCTTTATAGGTTAGGTTAGGTTAGGTAGCCAAAAAGGTTAGGTTAGGTTAGGTTAGGTAGGTTAGGTAGTCGAAAAAAAATAATTCATGAAAACTTGGCTTATTAGGTAAATTGGGCCTTGCATAGTGGGCTGAGAAGTGCGTTCTGGCTACTAGGTACGACATATATATATATATATATATATATATATATTATATATATATATATATATATATATATATATATATATATTATATATATATATATATATATATATGTCGTACCTAGTAGCCAGAACGCACTTCTCAGCCTACTATGCAAGGCCCGATTTGCCTAATAAGCCAAGTTTTCATGAATTAATTGTTTTTCGACTACCTAACCTAACTTAACCTAACTTTTTAGGCTACCTAACCTAACCTAACCTATAAAGATAGGTTAGGTTAGGTTAGGTAGGGTTGGTTAGATTCGGTCATATATCTACTTTAATTTTATCTCCAATAAAAAAAAATTGACTTCATACATAATGAAATGGGTAACTTTATCATTTCATAAGAAAAAAATTAGAGAAAATATATTTATTCAGGAAAACTTGGCTTATTAGGCAAATCGGGACTTGCATAGCAGGCCGAGTACGACGTTCTGGCTACTAGGTACAACATATATATATGTCGTGCCTAGTAGCCAGAACGCACTTTCAGCTTACTATGCAAGGCCCGATTGCCTAATAAGCCAAGTTTTTCTGAATTAATATATTTTCTCTATTTTTTTTCTTATGAAATGATAAAGCTACCCATTTCATTATGTATGAGGTCAATTTTTTTTTATTGTAGTTAAAATTAACGTAGATATATGACCGAACCTATCCGTCCCTACCTAACCTAACCTAATCTATCTTTATAGGTTAGGTTAGGTTAGGTTAGGTAGTCGAAAAACAATAAATTCATGAAAACTTGGCTTATTAGGCAAATCGCGCCTTGCATAGTAGGCCGAGTAGTCGACATTCTGGCTAATAGGTACGATATATATATATATATATATATATATATATAATATATATATTATATATATATATATATATATATATATATATATATATATATGTCGTACCTAGTAGCCAGAACGCACTTCTCAGCCTACTAAAAATATATTAATTCAGGAAAACTTGGCTTATTAGGCAAATCGGCCTTGCATAGTAGGCTGAGAAGTGCGTTCTGGCTACTAGGTACGACATATATATATATATATATATATATATATATATATATATATATATATATATATATATATATATATATATATATATATATATATATATAGTATATTTTGGTAGCAGTCTTTCCTGTAGACATATATTATTAAATATGACCGAAAAAGTAAGATTAATAATTCTAACACGAATTTTCTCAATCTTTCGTACATTACGCTTCACTGTTGGAGGTAAATCAAAAATCACTTCTCCAAAATTCATTTTTATTTCTAGTCTGACGCGACACGGGCGCGTTTCGTAAAACTTATTACATTTTCAAAGACTTCACAAATACACAACTGATTAGAACTTGCGTTTCTCTGATTTTATATCTACATTTGAGTGAGGTGGGAAGGGTGATGTGGCATTAACACAAGACAGAACAATAGGGGATATTAATAGGGTATTAAAAGTATCAACACAAGACAGAACAGAAACAATGGGTATTGAATAGAAGTGTTTGTAGAAAGCCTATTGGTCCATATTTCTTGATGCTTCTATATTGGAGCGGAGTCTTGAGGTGGGTAGAATATAGTTGTGCAATAATTGGCTGTTGATTGCTGGTGTTGACTTCTTGATGTGTAGTGCCTCGCAAACGTCAAGCCGCCTGCTATCGCTGTATCTATCGATGATTTCTGTGTTGTTTACTAGGATTTCTCTGGCGATGGTTTGGTTATGGGAAGAGATTATATGTTCCTTAATGGAGCCCTGTTGCTTATGCATCGTTAAACGCCTAGAAAGAGATGTTGTTGTCTTGCCTATATACTGGGTTTTTTGGAGCTTACAGTCCCCAAGTGGGCATTTGAAGGCATAGACGACGTTAGTCTCTTTTAAAGCGTTCTGTTTTGTGTCTGGAGAGTTTCTCATGAGTAGGCTGGCCGTTTTTCTGGTTTTATAGTAAATCGTCAGTTGTATCCTCTGATAGGGATAACTGATTTATTGTTAATAGAAACGTTATCCCTACAGACAAAAATCAGAGGATACAACTGACGATTTACTATAAAACCAGAAAAACGGCCAGCCTACTCATGAGAAACTCTCCAGACACAAAACAGAACGCTTTAAAAGAGACTAACGTCGTCTATGCCTTCAAATGCCCACTTGGGGACTGTAAGCTCCAAAAAACCCAGTATATAGGCAAGACAACAACATCTCTTTCTAGGCGTTTAACGATGCATAAGCAACAGGGCTCCATTAAGGAACATATAATCTCTTCCCATAACCAAACCATCGCCAGAGAAATCCTAGTAAACAACACAGAAATCATCGATAGATACAGCGATAGCAGGCGGCTTGACGTTTGCGAGGCACTACACATCAAGAAGTCAACACCAGCAATCAACAGCCAATTATTGCACAACTATATTCTACCCACCTCAAGACTCCGCTCCAATATAGAAGCATCAAGAAATATGGACCAATAGGCTTTCTACAAACACTTCTATTCAATACCCATTGTTTCTGTTCTGTCTTGTGTTGATACTTTTAATACCCTATTAATATCCCCTATTGTTCTGTCTTGTGTTAATGCCACATCACCCTTCCCACCTCACTCAAATGTAGATATAAAATCAGAGAAACGCAAGTTCTAATCAGTTGTGTATTTGTGAAGTCTTTGAAAATGTAATAAGTTTACGAAACGCGCCCGTGTCGCGTCAGACTAGAAATAAAAATGAATTTTGGAGAAGTGATTTTTGATTTACCTCCAACAGTGAAGCGTAATGTACGAAAGATTGAGAAAATTCGTGTTAGAATTATTAATCTTACTTTTTCGGTCATATTTAATAATATATATATATATATATATATATACTGCTTGGAGCACTGAGATATTCTGACGATACTGGCGCACTGCAGCCCAGACGTCGACTTGTGGTGGCGGCGGAGGGCAGGTGCGACGGGACACCAGCCAATCAGCGACAGGCAGGCAGAGGATGAGCAGTTAGCTGGTTACGGCGGTGGTAGTAGGTGTCACGGTGCGCTGAGTACGATTTGCTCTCTGAGCAAAACGTTTGGCGATACTTTGTGAACGTATCTTCTATAGTATCTTGTATATTGACGTACTTATGTAGGGAAGAGCAGGCTCAATCTCTCTTGAAAGAGATTATCGTCACAACTCTCCCCCGAAGCCTGTGGTTCTGGAAGAAGTTACGTCTTCATGTGGTGGAGTAATAGGTGGAGTTGCTTCTACTTCATAGACTCTGGAGAGGGCGTCGGC